GTTTCACAATCCGCGCGCAAGAAGGCGAGATCTGGCTATCCAGTCAGAATAGAAACTTCTGGACACTACCTGACAGCTTGTGAGCGTTGAGTGTAGTGCATTGAAGCAGCTGGTGCCTCGAGAGGCAGGCAGCCGTCAGACTGATCAGCGTGCTCCGGAAAGATGTCACGCCGATTGGAGAGATGTCACGCCCGCCGGAAAGATGTCTTTCTGCCTCAGCGAGCTGTCTGGAGCTCGAGAAAGGTGTCGTTCTGTGCAGAAAGCTGTCTTTCTGTGCAGAAAGCTGTCTTTCTGTTGCGGAAAGCTGTCTTTTTGTACAGAAAGATAGATGGCTTTTTGATGGGCCATCTGGCTTTTTGCAATGGAAATCCGTCTTTTTGAGTGGCGAGATGTCTTTCTGCAGCGGCTGATGGCTCTTTGCAGCGGTAGCTGCCTTCTTCGTCCGCCATCCAGTTTCGCACAGACCTTGCCTTGTCGTGAAATCGCTCTCACGATGAGTGGTTGCACTGAGGAGGAACATGCCGAACACATCAGGGCTGCACAAACGTGTGTTCGGCTGGATGAATGCCGCCAGATGCCTCAGGTGACTCTGTTGACCACCCTCTCGTTAGTCACAAATATATATATGGGTCTTCGTGCCTCATCTGACAGCCGCTCTTCCGTTTACATCGAGACTCAACCTCGCCAAGCAGACTCGCCTTTTCGTCGCAAATCACCGTCGAATGATTTTCATCTCAGAACATGACCATCAAAATGTCCCATATATCCGTTGTCCCATTTAGCCGACCAAATTCGCACGCCTTCTGCTTGCCTGTTTGAGTCACCAGGGCATCCCGGCAGGCCACCTGACTCGCCTGGCGTCGAGCTTGGCCCGGAAAAAAGAAAAAAAAAGCAACCCCGCCGGCGGCGAGGACGAGGAGAGCCAGCAAAGCAAGTGCTTGAGCGTTGCTTGGGCGAGACAGACAAGCGGGAGTGATTCACTGGCGAATGAGTGATGGAATGCGACGAGCTATCGACAGATCGAGTGATGGAATGTCCAAAAACACGCATGACTCATGCAGAGACAGTCACTCACCACACCAACACACTTCAATCGATATCTACGTTCACCTGCTCACCACTATCCTCCTCTGCCACAGCCTGCTCGGCATTCAACTCTCGCTCCACCTCACTGCCTGGCCTGAGGCTGCAGCGAACGTCGTAACTGACGCCGTCGAAAGCAGGAAGGTCGAACAACTTGGAAAAGAAGCTCATCGCTGATAAGAGGGGAGGCGGATGGTGCGATGATGACGTCTATAGCTCTCGGAGAGGCTCTCGAGAGTAGCACT